GAGAAAATGTTCCCGATCATTAACCATAAGAGAAATGCAAACTAAAACAATTATGAGATACCACCTAACACCCTCAAAGATAGCCCAATTCAAAACATCAGAAAGTAACAAGTATTGGAGAAGTGATGGGGAGATAGGAACTCTGGTCCACTGCTGGTGGACCTGTAGGTATGTACAGCCATTATGGAAAATGATTCGGCGATATCTAAAACAGATGGGAGATTAAACTACCATATGACCCAGCAATCCCCTTACTGGACATATACCCAGAAGAGGAAAGAAACAGACCACGGCCAGACATCTGTGCTCCAATGTTCATCGTAGCACAGTTCACAATTGCAAGGAGTTGGAAACAACTCAAATTTCCATCAACAGACGAATGGATCAAAAAACTGGTACATACATACAATGGAGTACTACGCATCCCTAAAAAGCAGTGATTAACCCATGAAGCACATTGCTGCATTGGAAGAACTGGAGGAAACCATGCTAAGTGAAGTAAGGCAAGCACAAAAGAACAAGTACAACATCAGTCCACTGAGGTAAGCTAAAAAAAATTGGGGCATAGGGGAAAAGCTACTATACACATACTTCACTGGGGTGAGGTCCAGCAACTATGGCAGGGGCCAAACCCAATCCAGGGATACATACAGCAGACAACTAAATAAGAGGGGGAAAGAAAGAGAAAAAAAAAAGACATGGGTGGTGGGAAGCAGGGCACTAACCCACCCAAGGGGAGCGTATTGTTTATATCTCCACAGGAGAAGGAGAGAGAGACCAGGCTTCAACATGATGCACCAAGATGTGAATACAACATACCACCGGCATGTACCAGGGAACCAACAGAGAGGTCTGTGGGGCCAGCCCTAATCCTGACTATGTGGACACCCCTTCCCAACCCCCACCAAGAATGCACTTCAGAGGACAGCACTGGGGCTACAGCTTGGGGAGAGGGGTGGATCGGATTACAGCACACGGGAGAAATGCGAAAGGATGGAGAAGGAGGAGAGGACATCCTGGCACTGTCACTCTTGGGCGAGGCACTGAGGGCATGCAGCAGAGCAACAGGGGGAGCAGAGTGACGAAATCCTCGGGGAATACCAAAAACAGACTTTGGAGACAGTGTGGCACCCCATCAGACTTGACTGGAAAACACTTGTAAAGGTCAACAAACACACCTTGAACTATTTAAGGCTTTTCCATTTTGTCAGTGGTTTTCTTTTTGTTATTGTTTTGTTGGTTTTTACTTTTTTTGTTGTTTTGACTTTGCTTGGTTTTTGCGCTTATTAATGTGTCTGCATGTATATCTAGATAAGATAGGCAAGATAAATAATTTGGAGATTAAAAAGAACAGGATCAATGGTTCCGGGGGATA